CTATACTTTCAGCAGTCTGCTGGAATTCGCTGGAATGGATACAAATATGAATCTCTTCCAGTGCATTGGCCAAGGAACTCTCTTCCCCATTTCCTGGCGTAGAGGACTAAGTGCTTCCAATACTTCATCAGGTTGTTGGAAAAACCTATAACAAACGATGGATAACCTTGGGAGGAATGGGAATTCTATAACCCTTCCTTGTGCTCAGGCAGAACGGTTACATGGATCAAGAGGCAAATAGAACTAGGGGATCTGCATGACTTAAAATCAGGAAAAGCCTGCGTCAGAGTTGTATCCACTCACCAGACTTACTCGATGTGTGTGCTGAGCTAATCCTCCGAGAAGCTGGCTTCCACGAAGAAGTGTGCAGCCTCAGGAGTGGAGACAGACCCTAGAACCCCTGGGATGTGCGGTGGCACAAGCTTGCTGGCTGGCAGTGAGGAGGGCTCCGGCCACTTGCTGAGGAAGAGAAAGAAGTACACCCTTGGCTTTCATAGACCACTCGATGGAAAGCTGGCCCAAATCCTCACAACCAGACCAAGAGGTAGCATTATGACGAATGGAGAAGAAACAGAAGTGGTCAAGGAATTTCTCCTGGCTTGTATCGACCAACGATGCTCATGGAAGCAGCAGTCCCGAGACTGAATGACACACAGGCTGCGCTGGTTACATCTGCTGCAGAAGACCCTTTCAAATGTTAAACAGCAAAGTAGTTCCTTTGGGGACTCAAGTGCGTCTGACCCTGAGCCCTTGTATTTTCATCTGCCTCCTATGCATGTGGAAACTGAACTTCGAGTTGAATAAGGAAGGCTGAAGAAGAATCCACGCGTCTGTATTGTTGTGCGGGCTCAGAGCATGGAAAGTATCCTGGGCGTCAACAAGGACAAACCAATCCATCTTGGAAGAAGTGCAGGCAGGGTGCTCCTTAGAAGCAAAAACATGAGGCTTCCGCTCACATTCGCTGGGCACGTGATCAGGAAAGACACTTCCCTGCAGGAGAACATCGTGCCCGGTGAACCAGAGGCGCAGTGATAAAGAGGAAGGCCTTCAAAGAGATGGACGGACACACGGCCGACCTGAGCTTGAGAGGAAGCGTGGGGGTGACCCAGGACAGGCTGTGCTTCTCGGCTGTGCCCAGGTTTGCCACAGGGAGACGAGGACTGGAGGGCTCCCAACCGCAGCAGCCAGGACTTTTCATGAAACACTGTAAATTCTGGGTCTTTGCAACTCTGCTCTCGTCCCATGTTGGAGAACAATCTCTGCTCTACTATGGGCAGGGTTAGGTTGGGGGTCACACCTGACCTTGGTAAAGGGCATGAACCTCGGCACACCCTTTTTTCCTTGAGGGACTTTCTCAGGCCCCACCTCAGAGGAGAATATTGGTCAAACAGAAACCCTTGTTTCCCCCCCACCCCCCCACCCCCAAGGACAACATTGAAGCCCCACCTGAGTGCAGGGTGGGAAGCATCCCTTGGTGGTTCCTGGGTTCAGAGGCAATACAGCAGGGAAGGGGTGAACCACATGCAAGAACCAGAGCTCGAAAAAGGGACCAGATCCAGGGCGGATGAGCCCTACAGGACCAGTGGTGAGAGTGGTGATACTGGGAGGGTAGAGGGAGAGTGGATAGGAAAGAGGGAACCGATTACAAGGAACTATATGGGACCTCCTCCCTGGGGGACGGACAACAGAAAAGTGGGTGAAGGGAGACGTCGGACAGAGCAAGATATGACAAAATAACAATTTATAAACTATCAAGGGCTCATGAGGGAGGGGGCAGCGGAGAGGGAGGGGAAAAATGAGGACCTAATGCCGGGGGCTTAAGTGGAGAGCAAATGTTTTGAGAATGATGAGGGCAATGAATGGACAAATGTGCTTTACACAATTGATGTGTGTATGGATTGTGATAAGAGTTGCATGAGCCCCTGATAAAATGATATATTTTTTTTTTTAAAAAGCAACAAAGAAACCAAAAAAAAGGAAAGGGACCAGTTAACTAAGGCGTCTATGGGAAGAGGGTGGGGCGGGGCATGCCACATCCCTGAGGAGTTTACAATTGCCCTTCATTAAACAAAGGTTTTAGTTGGGTGAACACTCCTGACTGAGGTGGGGTCTTAAAGCCTCTCAGTATCCGGCCACGGCTTTCGTTGGCCTGCTGCCCTATGACCTGCCGCCCATAGGAGCCGTCAACAGACTGCCGACCGTGGATCGACCCGTTTTCCATCCACCAGCCTGTGCTTGTTCTGCTTCCTGGCTGGCCAACCGGCCCCAGCGATGCCAGTCAGAAGTCTGGGGCCGAACCCGAGACTTGCCCTGGAGTGGACTTGCCAGCTGCTACAACTAAGGGGGCCATTTTTTCTCTGTTGTTGTGATCGCTATTTTCTGTATGCAAATCCACAGAAGAGTGACTGTCTCGAGTCTCTGTGGAACCCAGCCTAACACACCCTCTTAATTGTTCATCTCCTTAATCGTGATGAACATGCATGTACTCAGATCCGTTTTGCCCCATCTTTCTCTACTCTGGATTCTAACTCACAGGGACCCTAAGGCACAGGGGGAAACTGAGCTGGTGGTTTTGCAAAGCTGTCACTCTCTCTTTTTTAATTAATCATTCGACTGGGGGCTCATTCACATCTGATAACCATCCATCCTCCGATGGTATTGAGCACACTTGTCCATAGGTTGCCATCCACATTTCCAAAACATGTCCTTTCTACTCAAGCCCTTTGTATCAGCTCCCCTCCCGCCCTTGTGAATCTTTGATCTATTCTATACTGTAGTTGTTATTTCGTGTCTGACACTGTCTGTTGTCTCCCTCCACCCACATATCTGCTCTTCCTCCCCCTCGGGGAGGGGGCTATCTACCCAACCTTGTGGGGGGTAAGGCTGTAACTCTTTTTTCTTTCTTT